TTCATCATTTATGGACTGCTCAACTGTTTCCTCTTCCTTATCTTCAATTTTAGCACCTTCTTGTACCTGCATGATAGATGGGGGTAAAACCTCAACAATGGCTATAATGGTTTCCCTTTTCCTTCTAAAAAAACAAAAAAAAGAGTGGGTTTAAGTGTCAATGATCTTCCTCAACCAGACCTCCTCAGTATCTTCCTCCTTTGTATTAACTTCCATGTCCTTCATCACATCTTCATATTCTGTTTTTTCTTGTGAGTCCAGTTTGTATGCCTTTGTGAATGCTTCTACTGCCGTTTCACCTCCTCTTATCTCCTGTTCGGAGATTATGCTTTCCTTGCTTGCATCAGATGTGTCAGTGTCTAGTTTTAGATCCTACAATGTGGATATGATTACATCATCATTAAATTATCTCTTGCATTAAGAAATGTCATCATTTTAGTAATGGGAACTTGGACGTCAAGACATGCTAGAAAATTAGGATTTAATTCTTTTTTTACCTCCTTTGTTGTGTCCTTTTCTTCAATGCTCTTGTTATCAATTGCCCCTGTAACTTTCTCTTCATCTCCTAGGGTTTTTTCAGGGTTTTGAGCAACTCCTTCCATGAGAGAAGGAATTTTATCAGCTTCTGAAGGGATTCTCTCAGCTCCCTCCGGTGTTGGTTGCATTGAGTGCTCAAGCTTCTTTCCTTGTTCACTTTCTTGCAAGATCTTTGAATCTTCTTCTTTCTCCATTCTTTTCTTTTCATTTTCTGCTACAATCTCACTGTGCTTGATGTCATTGCTGCTTCCTTCAGCCAGAATGACAAAAGATTTCTCCTCATTGCCTTTCTCCTCTGGCAAATCTTCTGTTGTATCGACACTCTTGTACTCCAATTGCAATTTATCTTCTTGTCTCAGCATTGAAGTGTTAAGTGTTTCCTGTGGACCTTCAGCTGTTTGACTTGGCTCACCAGCAATGCTTTCTTCTGCTGCTGCCTCAGACTTCTCAAGTTTCTGCAGGAATATATGGTCAAGTAGTACTGTAAACTATGAGGAAAAGATTAATAGTAGAAAACAAAGTTGGCAATGACATTCACAGTAAGGCTAACCTCTCCTTCAAACTTGTCAGCATCTTTTTCATCAACTTGAAAGTTCTGGTCTGGAACTTCGTCAGTAGATTCAGGTCTGATATCCTCATTTTGTCCTTCTTCTGTCACACATTCTGTATCAACCCCTTGTTCTGACTTTTCTTCCTTGTTCTTGTTGTCTCTAAAGCTCTCAAATCTTTCTTCCTCTTTCAGTTTTGGCAAGGGAAGCAAATTATTATCTTCTATGATTTCTTTGGTGGCCTCTAAAGGGCATATGAGCTCTGGTCCATCATGTACCTGGAACAACAAAATTGAAGCCCCTTAAACATTTA